GAGGAAGAAGAAGAAGAAGCCCTCTGGGCCACAAGAACATGCCTCACAATAATGCAAATAAATATTCAGGTATGGGCAAACTACAGAAGAAAATCCCAAGTCCTGAAAAAACCAGGGTTGATTCAGCTCATTCCAATTTAAAACAACAACAGCAACAAAGTAAAAGGAGACCATAAATACATAAACAGATCCACACTAGCATGAGGTATATTACCCAGTTAAATATCTATATCTCTATAAAACAGCACTAATATTGAAACCTACTATGAAATAAAAATTAAAAACCTACTTCCATGCTTCTCATTTAATTCAATTCTTTTGCTGGAGTGATTTCACATGGGTGTCTCATTTAATCATTTTCCCTATAATTATCTTTGAGTGGTGACACTAATAAATAAACATTAAAATGACTAAAAATGTAAAGAATACAGACATCCTAGGGCTAATACAAATATACTACTATCATACATGTACAGGTAATCAGTAAATAATGCTGTTAATTATTCAGTATTGTGAATTATGCAGGATAATAATAAGAAATAGTCTTTTTCCTAGAAACACTAGAATATACACAAGTGGTCACAACAGAAATTATAGAACAGACCAGCATGACAATCATTAAATGTTATGATTTAAATATTTTGTGGGCCTGGAGTATAAAGCCTCTTGAAGGGTATCTGCCACTTTCTTTCAACACTTTGCCTAAATATATATTTTGCTTCTCACCCTGCATTAGTTCTTTCTAGATTAGCCCACAGGGAAGGACACATTTGAGAGAAGCATCAGAAATGTCCCCACAGAGGCACCTTGGGCCCTGTATGCCAGTCACACTCAGCCCACAGGGTGTGGCTGCAGAAGCTGGGGCTGTGCAAATGTCACCTATCTCGCCCGGCCGCGGGCTTCTCATATCCTGTTATGGCTGCAACTCCTGCCAGTTGCAAGGTGTGATGCTTGCTGCACACAGCGCGGAGAGCAGATCCCGGGGGAGCACGAAGCAGTTCTGGAAAATGTTCCCGTGGTGGATCCCCACACCCAGGCAGGAAGGCACGAAGGAAAGAGGGCTCATGAGCGGAAAATGAGAACCCGAGCAAAGTGGTTTGTGAAAAATCATTAGTAAGAAGGATAAACGTGAAGCTAATGTAATGTAAGATAATGTAAGAGTTGAGCAAATGTGCTTCAAAGGCTAGAAATATTACAATTAGGTCAGTCGGAAAATGGGTCTTTATTTTTTAATCTTCAACATGAAACATATTGTTAGTAGTGATCAGGTACACTTTGTTCTAAATCTGCCACAAAATAATAAACAGACTCACAAATAGAAAAATTGATATGCATTTAGGTACATTGTTCTGACGATGTTAGGACTTTTTATCCGTATTATTAATCTTTTTCAGCATAAGGAATAAAAAACCTCTTACAAAGAACAATCCTCATGACTCACAATTAAATCAGCATTTTATGCAGAAGGAGGTCAAATGAGTGATCTTTGCATGATAGAAAAATTATTATGCTTTCTGTTGCATACGTCTAGCTTCTGTATACAAATTATGCCTGGGAAAGTAGTTCTTAAACCAACACAAAACTAAATCAGCATTAAAGTAGAGCGAAATAATTCACTCCGAGCTTTCTTAACATTCACAGAAAAAAAAAAAAAAAATCAAATGCATAGAAGTTTTCTATCCCAAACTGAAAAGCTCACAAATGAACACTACAGGGCTCTAAGGTCTGCCCGATATTTCTCCAGGGCTTAAACCTCACTGCGTCTATGGAGGAGGCCTGAACTTGCCTGCAGCAAGCACTGTTACCCGGCTTGGCGCCCCTGGCGCCCCTCTCCTCCCTGGGCTTCTTGGCGCGCTCCATCCCCGCCCTGTGCGGTGCACCTGCCGCCGGTGCACCACCATTTCCTACGACTCTCCCAGCGGCGGTGCAAAATCTGCCTGGAACGTGTGTTTCCGGAGGGGAGATGAAAGTTAGCCTGCACCCGGGTGCAACCGCACCGTGACAGCGCCAGCAGAGTCGCCTGGGCCTCCGCGCAGCCTTCAAGCCCTCAGCTCTGCTCCCCACTTTCCCTCCCCCAGCTCTTCCTAAAATAGTCTAGGGGTGGAGGAAAAGAGGCTCCTTGAATCTGCTCAACCCCCTGCATTTCTCATCGGATAGTAGCGACGGCACCGACCATCACAAGAGGGTGGCTGAGGCTTTCGCTTCGGCATCACCGGAGCCAAGGCTGGGCCACGAACGGAAATGACAGCTCAGGGAGAGGGTATTCGTAAGGATGCCGACGTACGAGCTGCAAAGAGGCTCTCCAGCCCCCCCTCGTCTCCTTACCCACGAGAGTTACACACACGCACACCACCGCTGCCCTCTTCCTCCGACCCAGCACGCAGAGCTCAGTTTGCAAGCTCAAACTTGCTTGCAATGTGTCTGCAATTTTTCGTCCTGTACCTGTCTCTCTCCAGCTTCTCTCTAGGTCTCTCTCGGGCTGTGCTTTTACCTTCTCAGGCGGCCTTCTTCGGTTTCCAGCAGCGAGGCGAAGCGAGTGGGAGACTGCTCCTCCTGGCGCGGTGGGGCGGTGGGTGCTCGGCTGTCCCCCGCCTGTCGCCTCGCCGGGTCTCGGGCGCGGTCTGCAGGCTGCAGGGAGCCCGGCCGCCCTGGTGACCGAGTGCAACAATCCCAGCCACGCTCGGGCCCGCGCTCGCCCTGCTGGCGCGCACACACCGCCTTCCTCGGCCGCTTCCTCCTCCGGCTGCACCCCGGGGGGTTAGGCCGCCCCCACCCCGCCCCTCGCAGCTTTGCTCCTGTCAGAGGGGAAGGTCGCCCTGGAGGGCTCAGCCTCCCGCGGGGACCCAGCGTCAACCTTGGGCCGCCACACCCCCTACTCCGCGCAGCTCTTGCTCTCCAGGATGCGCCTGTCCCCGGCAGAGCTGGGGGCGGGACCTGGAGACTCCGGTCTGGCGCCCTACCTACCTCGGAGCAGTGCTTGGCTCTCGCTGCGTCTCCGCAGCAGCCAAGCCCTCGCAGAGAGCCGCCCTACCGGCGGGCCTATGCTAGAGGGCCCCTCCTAGGGGCTCAGGTACGGAGGGGACAGCTCAAAGCAAGGGGACCTCCTCCTCCATGGCCCAAAGGAGCCCAGCTGCCCTGACTGCTAAGTTTTGCCCAGGACGTTCCCGCACCGCTCCCGTCTCTGGGCAGAACCTGTCTCGTAAGGCCAGGCCGGGAAGTCCCCTGATGGTCCCAGGAAGGGCTGAAGCAGGTGGAGCAGCGCATTCCTCTGGCTCCTTGTTAAACGACCGTCAGGCAGACCCTACTGCCTGGCTTCTGAAGCTGTGGGATCACAGCTGGAAACACAAATTAACCTTTATATTTGGTTGCTGCGCTCATACAGCTTACTTTTCTTTGGAAGGTACTTGACACCCAAATGGCATTAAATCTTATTTATTAACATAATTCGTTAAAAAAGCTTTTTGTCCTTCAGCGTCACTATAGGCATTGTGGGACCATGTCAATCCTCCACTTGTCCTCACTCGCGGGCTGAGACCCCAGGGTTGCTTGGTAGCATTCAGGAGATTTTATTTTGTTGTGGTTTTATGGTTTCCAAGCAAAGTCAAACACAGACTTTCTTCAACAACAATAAAGTCCAAGTCCAACAGGATTACTGCAGCTAAAATAATTGAAGCTTGTTGTAATAATCTTAAAAAAGAGTAGCCTTTGAATCTTCAATTGGATATGATAATTTTTATTCCTTAAATTTATAAGAAGACCAATTCAGAAAAAGGACATTTTTTTCTGCTGCCTGCTATTCCCTCACCAGCAACCAATATTCCCAACATTGCTGTTCATTTTCTTTAAATTCTTTCCTTGATTGCACCAAACTATGATTATAATCATAAGGGTGTCTGAAACATTTCTGGCAAACTAATCTGATATCGTCTCTTTTCTAAGTTTATGATGTTTTTAGAGACCAAGGAATGAATCTCTAATTTCAGGACTTGAAAATCAGGAGTCTGGGACTGGAGGGTTGGAGTCTTGGTTTAGGGGGTCACATTTTTTTTTTTTTTTTGGAGGTACCAAGGATTGAACTCAGGACCCTGAGCTTGCCAGGCAAGCACTTATTCGACTAAGCTATCTCCCAGCCCCTGGGGGCAGAATCAAAATCTACCTCTGTCTCTACTGACAGGCAGCACAATACAGAGGACTGTGTAATCGCTACTGTTGGCTGCCCAGATCCCCACGTGGATGTAGCTAGAGCCTAGGTGTGCAGAGAGCCTAGTGTCCTGGTCCACATGTTCTCTCTCTACCCAGGTGCCACCAAACCCAGATTCACACTTACACTGCTCAGAAGGAAGGACTGTGCGGTCTCAGTTCTTCTCCCCAAGCCCTATCTTCTCCGCACCAGTCCACACCACTGGCTCTTGAAATGAGACAGGGACAAATTGTATGATCCTCATACTGTGTTTTCAGAAGCGGGGGCTGACTCCGGAGATGGGGGCCACTTAAAATGCAGCCTGAAGCACCACTCCTGCCAGTTTGAACTCGATGAAAGCTAATTCTGCCTTCTTGGCCTCAGACAGGCAGGAGCAGGCCATGGCTGACTGACGTATCTTCCATGTTGATCCCAACTTCCACCTTCGGCTCAACCTTATTTTCTATAGAACATTGAGCACATTTTAGACACTTAGAAGGGCTTACCTTTTTCTCTTCTCCTGGGAATGGTGCTATTGTTTTATTTAGCCCAACCTAACCATTGCAAGAACACCTGCTATATAACAGATATTACCCTGAGCTCAGGTGCTACAGAGGTCAGCAGAACCAGACCCAGGCTCTGCCTTCACTGTGCTTAGCCAGGGAGAGACATCAAAGAAGCACATGAATGCTGAAAAGGCTAAGGGTGCTCTGAGAATTTTCAATGAGGGAAATTAACTTATTTGGATGATCAGAAGAGTTTACTGAGGGAGACATCTGAGCTTTGATGTATGAGAAGGTGACATCAACTAAGTAAAGGGAAGCTGGAGGCTGAAGGAGCAGTGCAGGCACTAGGCAGAGCATGCGCACAGGATCTGGGGAGGAACAGAACACTGTGTACTTGGTGAACTGAGGAAGGCACATGTGGCTGGTGGCAGAATAACCTGGAAAGGTGAAGAGGGCAGCAGCTGAGGGAGCACTGGCCCAGCAGGGCACAACATGGAGCTCTTCTGAGGTACCCTGAAGAGCTGTACCCTTATGCCATGTCAGTGAAGTCATTTTCTCCTATGGTCTCACTTAGTGGCACTACTTAATTAGATTTACCCTTGAAACTTTCCTTTTGGGTAAAAGGTGAAAAACAGACTAGAAATTGGGAATCTATGACAACACAGCAGTTAGGAAGTTACTGCAGTCATCATTTAGAAAAGGATCATGGCATGCATTACACAGCACTTCACAGATCAAACACGCAGGGCCTAGGGCTCCATGTACAGCTGTGGAGTCAATGCTTGTGTACCTCACCTTACCCTAATTCATACGTTGAAACCTAGTTGCTAATGGAATAGTGGTGTTGCCTATGAGAGGTTGTTGGCAGGTCATAAGGGTGGCACCCTCATCAATGGAATTAGTGCCTTTGTGAGAGAGTTACAGAGAGTTCTCTGAATGTTCCGCCTTGTGAGAACACTGCAAGAGATTATCAATGAACCAGGTGGCACGCCCCCCTCAGACGTGGAATTTTCCCATGCCTTGGTCGGAGACTTCCCAAACCCTCAGAACTGTGGCAAAATACATGTCATTTAAAAGCCATCCTGTGAAGGGTATTACATTAGAGCACCCTGATGCTCCAAGACATGAGCCAAAAAGAAGTCTGAAGAGTTATAATTTATCAGAGTTGATAAAATCTTGGATTTTAGGCAAGGAAGTCTCAAGTTTTAGCCCAGCACTAACATTAACTATCTGCTTGATTTTTAGCTGGCAATTGGCATCACAAGTCTTTCTTTCTTTCTTTCTTTCTTTCTTTCTTTCTTTCTTTCTTTCTTTCTTTTTTTTTTTTTTTTTTTACTAACCTATGAATCAGGATTATAATAATGTTTCATTTGTAAGCCTGTTGGGACAAAACAAGATAAAACCTGGGAAACACTCAGTACATTAGTACTTGGCATGTAGTCAATAAATACAAGATGCAATTTGTGTCATTATTATTGTTATACCTATTGTTACTTATACTCTACATGTGTGTGAAGCTGGCACCTCCAAGGAAAACTGCCAGTCTCTATCCCACCTTGCAATAACTTCATTGATCTAAGACAGCAGTTCCTGAGGAGAGCAAAATATAATCCCTGGGCTAGCACAGGCTGAGGGATTGCTGCCAAGTTATCTGTCTGTTTGTCACCTGGTCTCAGTTTACACAGAATGCAGTTCTGTCCCTGTGGCTGCACCCCCCCCCCATATCCTCTCTGGATTAATAGGTGGTCGGAAAGCACAGCAAACCTGCAGATTGCTCTCGGCTCAGCTTTATCCCAATGCCTGCACTGCCACACTCCATGTGCTTGTAAAATAGGAGTTATCATGCCCATATGAAATGAGCAAATAATTATTTCTACCATTGCAATTTCCACTTTATGCAACTGTGTTAATCTTATGGAAAATTACAATATTTAAAACCTATCATATGATAAATAAATAAAACCTGTTCAGTTAACAAAAAAAGCTGTCCCTACCAGCATTAGACCTTAACTCACATAAGCACATGTGCAAACTAGTCAGTGTGTCTCTTCTCCTACCTCCCTTACACAAACTAACCTGTTTGTGAAACCTGTCTGTGTAAACTGCTAAGCAAAATATCTTTCTTATTTTCTAAATGTCAGACAGATAGTAGCTCCCAAGGTCTGGGTGGAGCCAACAACTGTGTGGTTTGGGTTTAGGAACTTGAGGACCTCTTGCTAAGTAGGTCCATCAATGTTGCCTGCTAACAAGGAACAAAAGGTTAGGCAGGAAAAGGGGCTTACTTTGCCTGGCAATAAAGTGCCAGGTCCTTTCAATTTAAGGCTCAAAGGACCCAAATTCATCCAAATCCTCTAAAATGCCCTTTTCCCCATAATTTCAGAGCTTACTCTTTGCAGTAAGGACCTATCTTTCACAGAAGAAACCTAGCAAGAGTTTGAGTTCATCTTGCACAATAATTTACAACGTGTAGAACTGGATTGGATATTGTGTTTTATCAAGAATGTAGCTGGGAATGCAAGTGTTCTAGCAGTTCTCTGGTTCTCTGCTTATGCCTTGATCTAAGAATGTGACACTTCTGAGCTTGTCCCTTTCTTCTCAGGATCACTGGTATACTCAGAAGTAGCTGGCTTACCCACAGTCCTCTCTATTCTCTTTTGTATCATAAGATTATAAAGCAGTAGTCAACTTAATATCCTACCATCTTGCCTTCAACAGGCTCTTTACCTCAGGATTCCATAGGAGTTGATTTAAGTAGCTACCTATCTGCATCTCCCAGGTCTGCTTAAAACTCTATTTTGCACTGCCGAAGAGGTTATCACTATTTGAATTCAAATAAGTTTAAAAATCAAGTGTCCCATCTTTGAAACAGTGTTAGCCTGACATACTGTGTCAGTACTCATTAAAGAAACATGAAAGGAACTTGAGTATTCAATTCATGGAGTTCAGACCTAAAAATGTCTTCACAAAGATTGTAGAGGTTGTTTGGCTGCCTTTGGATTTCGAGTAGCACCTCTGTGGGTGCATCC